AATGTTGAAGTAGGCTACAGTAATTCTATTAAAATGTGTTAATGTACGCCAAACTAAACTGGAGAAGCGTGGAAAAACCTGAGGCCAGTCTTTGCTGATACATAGGCTACTGACATTATACTAGAATATGATTTAGCTACATTTTATACAAATAATGTTGAAGTAAGCTACAGTAATTCTGTTAAAATGTGTTAATCTACGCTAAACTAAACTGGAGAAGCGTGGAAAAACCTGAGGCCAGTCTTTGCTGATACATGGGCTACTGACATACTTGAATATTATTTAGCTATATTTTATACAAATAATGTTGAAGTAAGCTACAGTAATTCTGTTAAAATGTGTTAATCTACTCTAAACTAAACTGGAGAAGCGTGGAAAAACCTGAGGCCAGTCTTTGCTGATACATGGGCTACTGACGTTATACTAGAAAATGATTTAGCTATATTTTATACAAATAATGTTGAAGTAAGCTACAGTAATTCTGTTAAAATGTGTTAATCTACGCTAAACTAAACTGGAGAAGCGTAGAAAAACCTGAGGTCAGTCTTTGCTGATACATGGGCTACTGACATTATACTAGAATATGATTTAGCTATATTTTATACAAATAATGTTGAAATAAGCTACAGTAATTGTGTTAAAATGTATTAAGCTACGCTAAACTAAACTGGGAGTATCTGGAACCACTTGTTATCATTTATTTACATATAGTAAAAATAAAAACCCAAATTGGCCACTTATAGTCAACCAATTGTATAATTCCAATTTTAAAGAAAATATTGCAATAATTACATGAAAAAAAGTATAAAACAGTTACGTTAAAAATGTATGTAAAGGTAACTCAAAGTAAAGTTGAACATTTGGGAATTCTTATCTCATATGATATACCTTGGCTGGCAGTAAATGTCGATCTGTGCAATCAATTTTACGTGTCCTTAAATAGTTATGCTTTAATTGAGGAAAATAATATTACTTTCAAGAAAAACAATATGTATTATGGACAATTACAATTGGAAATGTTACTTACCGAATTACAAATATGTCATTTTTTAATTTTTTGTCCACACATATGATCAAAGTACCATTTGATGTAGAATGTATACAAAACATGTTAAAACTTTTGATAGGCGTATATTTTTACAATATATTACAAGTTTTATTCCAATGATATAGTTAAAAAATTGTTTTAAATGACTGTTTTATTTCTTATAGGTACTTTTACTTGGAAAAAATATTTACACTTTACTACATTCTCATCTGTTAATTTAGATATATTTACAAATATAAATTATTATTTTTCATTACTGAATATTGGTGCAGAAAGGTTCACAATTACTGAAATAATATTTATAACAGAGTAGGGGAAGGACGTCGAAGATGACGCACCTAAGCAAAATACATTTTATTTAAGGGTAAAAAATATTTGAGCTAACTTTGAATGCTACGAGCCTGTAATTTGGACATTTCTATAACCAGTTTCTAGGATTATTTTTAAATTTAATAAAAGGAAGTATTTTTTATGCGGCTTTTTTAAAAAACGCTTTTGCGCCATCTTACCTTCCACCGAGGGAAAGATGACGCACAGTGATGGTGAAGATGGCGCATTTAGGTATCTATATTAAAAGCGCAAGTGATATGAAAAGAAAATTTATTTTGTACCTAATACTGAAAGTAAGAAAATGTAAACAAAGCTTTTTTAACATATTAACAAAAGTCACAAATGTAGTTTTCGGGACTTTTGGCTCCACTGCATTCTTTATGCACCCATTGTCTACAACTTGTGCATCTGAACCATGTTTCCGTCTTTTTGCCGAAGTCTCCACATAATATGCAGATATCAGTTTCACCTCCCTCGTTGATTATGTCATCCAACTCATCGTCATTGCAAAGACCTTCTTCATCAAAATCGCTTTCTTCAGTATCGCTATCCTCCAAGACTTTTTTGTTTATTTTTTGTTTGATTATTTTTTGTACTTTGGCTTTCCCTTTATTTTTATTTAGTTTTAATCCTGCATCATTAACCAATACTTGTCTGGTTACTTTTTTCTTTCCTTCTTCCGACTTCGCCAGTTTTTCTTTTTTTATTCTCTTTTTCTTCTAAGAATTCTTTTAAAGTGGTGCTTGTTAGAATTTCAGAATGTTGCTTTTGTCGTCCATATTTTCTTTTAATTTTTTTATTGGGCAAAGGAACTGGAGAAATAAGTGAAAGAGAAATATGTGGACGTTTGGTTATTTCATTTTGTTTTGTGGGGGTTGTGTGACGACTTTCAGGAGACTGTCGGCTGGTTGATGGACGTGGTAATTTTGGTTCTCTTATAGATGATGTTGTTATTAGTGGTGTTCCCTGAGGTGCAGGTTCAGGAGAAACATCTCTATCCAAGCTATCATTGTTTAAATTATCAGCAGGAAAAAAGTCATCTTCTGTGAACTTATCAGAGTTTAACGGAAAAATTCCGCACGTTCCGAAACCAGAAACGGCCTTATCAATATTTGCCACCTGATCATATGCTAACTTAAAAATCTCGGCGACATCATATGGAGTAATTTTATCTTCAAACTCTAAGTTGCTGATCTTAGATTTTAGAAAGGAATTGCAATGGCGACCATACGCATATTTTAATGCAGAAAAAAATGACACATCAAGAGGTTGTAATTTGTGGGATGTGTGGGGTGGAATACTAACCATTATAATCCCATTCTCTTTGCAGTAATTATAAATATCCAGTGAAATATGGCTTGAGTGATTATCTATTACTAACAGCACGGGATTATCTGGACTAGACAGAACTTTTTTTTGGAAATGCTTCAGCCATAATAAAAACATAGACGTATTACTCCATCCATTATCCGTGCAGTTGTAAATCGCACCGCTTGGTCCATTTTTCTGAAGCTGTGGGCCCATCCTCTTCCTGGGAAATATAAATAATGGAGGTATGTAGTTACCGGAAGCACTGAACGCCATTATTACCGTGATATTCTTCCCTCGTTCCCACGAAGACATGATTCCAAACTGCTTTACTCCTTTGGGTCCAAGTCTTTTACATGATTCTTTAGAAACCGTAGATATACCGGTTTTTGACCGATGAAGCTGACCGAAAAGCTGACCGATGAAGTTTTAAAGTAATAGTAGTTTCTAAAGGAGGGCGCCACGGGTATAAAAACTGAATTTAGTGAAGTACTTGATAAAATACAGAGGTGCTTCGTCTTAGACGCTGCGTCATCTTCCCCGTCCTTCCCCTATATATAAGGAGCTAGGAATAAATTAACTCTTGCTTTAAGAATTTTAAAGATTTTTAGCCGTTGTATAGTTCTTTCAACGTTTACTCTTGCTGAAGCAATTTCAGCAGTACAAAGAGCATCTTGCACTGATAAATTGTTTTCTTTTTCTCAAAAATGGTGGTCTTATTAATTCGATTTTCTTTTCAATGCATTCATTTTCTATCAAAAAGCCGATATTATGTACCATTATAGCATCCTCATTTAGTGTCAATTTGTCCAATAAACTTGATTGAATAAAAATTTCTTTGTCTGAGATATGGCCATCATAAATAGAACTTAATGTAATTAAACCAGATGATGCTATTCCAATCATAACTTGTGGTTCCCTTTGTAGTGAGAATAAGTCATTACACGACACTTGACATACTTGCTTTTTTGTAAAAGTAATTTTGTGCAGTCCAAAATAATTTGTTTTAGGAAATTTTTTAAAACTAACAGGTATCCTATTTTGAATCTCTTCTTTTGTTGGCCAGGGGATTCCAGGTTTTAATACTTTAGAAAGAACTTCCACCGTCATCTGAAAATTATTTTAACATGTGTTTGCCGAGACATCAAATATAACAGAAAGGCAAAGAAAAGTGAGGTCAGTTTTTAACTTAGCAAACACTAGAACAATACGTTGTTTTAGCTGAAGCAATAATGGTTTCGATTTTTTATTTTCTAACAGACTAGTAGCTTCACAAATTTTTTCCAGCAAATTTAAAGTGGGTATTCCCGTTAATGAATTTAAATCGCGATTTGTTTTTATCAGATCATACAAAGTAACTTTTTTGCCTTCACTTAATACAGATGAGGTCATTTGTATAGCCTTCTCTTCTGTGCTGATTTTCAATGAGTGATCCCGCTGTAATTCTGGACTATTTCGGATGGCTTCTAAAACAGAACTAATCGCTGTGCGTGTCTTAATTTCGATTTCATCTTCGTAACTGTTGACGTTGTTGATCTGAGTTGGATCATCACATCTTTTGAAGACCACACATCCAGTCCCGTTTATCAGTCCTCACATCTAAAAAATAAGTAAAACATTATTTCATTGTTTAAGAAAGAACCAGGCTGAGACAATATTACCTAAATAAATTTCCTATCAAATATATACTTAGAAAAAAAGAATCCAATTTCTTAAAGTGACGGCTGCATACATCCTCAATTTTGTCACATGTTTTGCAATACGAAGGGCTACTTGCCAATTTTTTCGTAATTTCTTGTCCTTTGGAAAGTAGTGTAGAAGTATATCTTTCGCACATCGAGCAGAACATTGGGGCAATGAAAAGTGTCTGTTACTTTTCTTCTTATCGCTCATTATTTTTAAAATTTGATGATATTTATACCAATTATAAACTCTAATTTATTCAAATTTTTGACATTTATCCCTATTTTATTAGTTATCTATTTGGCAGTAGGGCATGCAATAACCGCAATGGTATTGCATGCGTCTCGATATTTCGTGTAACGCTAAATAATATTTCGGACCTGTGAAAACATTCTTATCGAACGATAAATATTAACGATTAACACGATTGTATTCGTGTACTTTCATATGACTTGCTAGCGTAGCTTTGTGATCAATCATAAGTTCATTAATCCATTCAAAAATTAATTCAAAATATCTCAGACTGGCTGACGATATTGTTTTAATAGCCACTGGTTTTTCAAAAGATAGTTTTAAAAAATCTATAAAATAAACAAATACATTTTTTAATATATACTTTTTTCTTTTTTAGAGGTATTGTTCTATTTGGAACACTTGGACCTACGCTGGTGGTTCTTTTGATATTCGTCTACTTATGCTGGTTGGATGGATGCTGTGGTCCTCGGCCACCTTCAGATACACCCATAGATGAACCGGGGGCATGCTCGCCTCCTGGGCAGATTGTAGCCGAAAGTCGATGTCTTAGGCTTTCGATTTTCTTGGTATCGGTTACTTTAATATCGGCATGCGCCGTGTTGAATTTGGTAAGTACAATATAGATATGTCTTGAAAAACAATATTAACACGTTTAAAAATATATTTAAGGAGCATAAAGTTTTCTTTTCATTTTATTTTCGATGTAGCTATGATTTTTCTTTGATGAAATGGGAAACAAAAGATAAAAGTTTGCCAACTTAATATTGGATGTTACATATTTGTATTTTACAATTGCATTTTTGCGTTTACTTAAGCAAAATAATATAAACGAACTAAACAAAGCGAACGAACATTCTCTACAAAAACCTTCTCAGGTTTTTATAGAAAACTATTCGCCTGAATGGATTTGTTGTGTTTGCGTCGGTATGTATGTATACAGGTGAATATTGACTTACTTAACACAAAATACTGTACTACAAAACAAACCAACAAATCAAATCCATTTTCTTATTCTCATTTGCATATTCGTTTGCTGTATTTATTGTTTTTTCGATTCGATGTTTTTTGATATCGGAAATATCTTTGACACATATTTTTTTCGTTCGGATAATGTATTGCTAAAAGTGGGTAAAGACTTAAACATTTTAGCATGAATGACCAGAACGAACTGAGTGCGCAGAAACAAGCAGAATGAACAGTACTAACAAAAAAACATGCAGATCACGAGAATTGTGTTCGCATAAGAAGTTCTAGTTGCTTGCAGTAATTGGAGTCTCTTTTTCTCAAAAATTATAAGTTTTCTTTAAAAAAAATGAACACTGACTTAGCAACAGTTCTTAGTGCGTTTTTTATTATTTGTAAAATTTCCAAAAACGAGAACAAACAACGTAGTCAGTAGGTACGAAAATTTTATCTACACTTACTGATAATTTATTATTACGATAAATGGACTTCGTCCAGTTAAATAATTTCACTAGACTGAGGTGTAAAGATTTTGAGGAGTTAATAAATTTGGACATGTATATAATATATAGAAGTTTGTTCGTCTTCGTCCTGATAAATGTTCGAAGTGTTCTTAATTGTCGCAAAAAATTCGTTGTCGCAATTGAGCTTCTGTTTTAATTTCATCCTGGTTCTGGTATACTGGTGATTTTAGAGGTCCCCAAAAATAAAAGTCCATAACACTGCATTCTGGCATTCTGGGTGGCCACAGAACGTGTCCTTTTCTACCGTTCCAACGACGATGATAAGTGATGTCGAGGAAATTTTTAATATGTCTCGTAAAATGTGCTGGAGTCCCGTCATGAAGAAACCACATTTCAGAGCGTATTTGTAACGCAACGTCTTCAAGAAGTATCGGTAGAACATGCTGCAAAAAATTTAAATAGGTTTCTCCATTCAATCTTCTTGGAAGTTTGTACAGTACAATCAGATGATTACCAATAATCCCAGCCCATCAATGTATACTAAATTGTTTTTAAAAATTTGTACTGCGTATAGCATACGGGTTTTCATCATTCCACACGTGACAATTATGAAAATTAAGCACACCATTTCTCGTAAAACAAGCTTCATCTGCACACAACACTTTGCACGGAAATTCGGGTTCTCTGGCGATTTTGTTTTGAAACCATCTATAAAATCTTAATCTTCGAGGTAAATCGCCTGTAAATATTGCACTCGTTGGTAATGGTAAGGATGTAATAGTTGTTCCGTAAATGTCTTGTGAACAATGTTTTTGAAATGCCAACCATTCTAGCCACAGATCGGATACTTACTGTTATTATTACTGACTATATCCAAAATTACATCTGCATTTAGTCTACGGTTACTTCGTGTTCTACCGCTAGTTTTTTTAGGAACCACATAACCCGTCTCTAATAACCTTTGGGACACGTTCACAAAACTTCGGGCATTTGAATGTCGTCCCATCGTTCAGGATAGCGTTCAACATAAAGTCTAACAGCCCTATTACTGTCACAGTGAGCTTCACCGTACGTAATTAACATATCGTAATACTCGCGAATCGAAAACATGACAATACTATTTATTCTTGAGCTTACGGCTTTACGGGTAATTACGACTATTTACAAATAATGTACCTTCTCTGTATCAAAATAAATTAAACTATCGGGTTGCCAAATGTAAGTTTTAGTAATAGTACATTGTTTACCGGGTAGGAAAAGCTTAACATTCCTGGACGACTGTGAAGATTGCTAAGTCGAGGCGCAAGCCGAGACTTAGCAACACAGAGTCCAGGAATGTGGCTTTTTCTACGAGGTAAACATACTATTTTTCGGCAAATCGTTTAAAATTCGACAGATATTGATTGATTTAAAAAAAAAAAACGCGATAATTTTATTATCAAATAAATGGTGCTTTGAAATTCCTAATAAAATTACTTGGGTTACTATGGAAACGTATTGAGGTTGAATTGTCAAACTTGACAATTATTTATGTAGAACACTAACAACAGTACGGAAATATCATTTCCTTACAGTAAGGAAATGACATTTCCTTACAGTAAGGAAGTCCTGACTTTTTCTTCAAGAAATTTTGACAGGAATGTCAAAATTTCCTGGCGATTTGCGGAAAAAGAAATTTATTTTTATTTTTTGAGACAACAGATGATTTTATAAGAAAGTTTTATTTTCAATGGTGCGTACTACTCATACCTTTTTGGAGCGCAACGTTGCCGGATACTCTCAGCCCATACCTTGAAGGAACGCACTATTTTCCGGGACAACCCGTATACAAGTTCGAACTAAAAACCGTAGAACATGATTTTTTGGAGGGTTTAGGGGTACTTCGTCCAATTTTTGAATATGCTGAATAATATTTTTTTTTTAGTGGTTTTGGCGGGATTAAATATATTTTTTGATCTCGGCACAACCTGAATCAATTTTCTCATATTTTTCCTTTTTATGTGTTTATAAAATAAGACCCAGCACAATTAGTCTAAAAATGCCTTTTTTGTTTTCGAAAACGGCGTAAAACTTTTATTAGCAGGATTCTGTACGCTTCGTATAGATGTCGCTCTTAGCGTACTCAACAACAGGAGAATTTTACTGTCATCATGTCATGTGTTTGTCTTTTTAAAGACGAATTACATGCTATGATTTTTCTGACGGAAATTCTCAAGTTAAAGGTGATTTCATGTAATCGAATGTTGAACAATATTGGCAATATCATTTTAAAGTCGTCTACTTTAAAATGCATAATCTATGTCTGAATTGTCAATATAAATGAGTCAGATAAAATTAAATTATTAAAAGAATTTTTCACTATGTAACAAAAAAACAAAATTTGTTTAATTTACTGTTTGTATTTTGAGAACGATTTCCGAAGTGGAAATTGAAACGTCAATAAACGTATTTTTATCTTTAATTGTGGCTTATTCCTAGTTTAATAGTAGTGAACTTAGTTATTGTAGGGTGGAAGGATAAAAAATCCACACTTTTATTGGGAATTGTTGTACCACAATTAAAGGCAAACCTGCCAAGAAAAAACGGATTAATAATAAAAATGGAATTCCTTATGTCAATGAAGTACCTAGGATTAAATTGATCGAAGAGTATTTTGATAGCGTTCTAGCTATTGATATCCACAACCATATAATCTATTGATAACCTATAAATACTTTATTAAAAAAGACTTGGTCTCGCATGAGTCTTTTGTAAATAAATTAGGAGTACAGCTAATAAAAAATGCATGGACAGACGATCAAAAAACGCAAATGGTTATATACGAAAGACCTACTTCAATCCCTAATACCAAGGAAAATCGCCTTGACCATGCATTAAAAGGATTAAGCAGTGAAAAAGATAAATAAAGAGTACAAAGAAAATGTGTAGTTTGTTCCCGAATTAATCATAAACAACAAAAATGAAGTTTTTTTTGTGAAAAATGTGGTATTAAATCGATGTTATGCGTTGCAACGACAGGTCGTAATTGTTTCACATACCATATTTTACATGGAGTTCCATCCAAAAGAAAGCGTTTTTCATTATAAAGAAAGTTTTCATTATAAAGAAAGTTCAGTCTACACTATCTGCAATATTGTGTCTACTCAATAAGTTTTACTTTTGATTAAATTTTTATTTTATTTCTATATATTTGTTTTAAACGAAACAATTTGTCAGACGCCAAGTGTACCTTTTATTTTTTAAATAGATTTAACATGGTTTGATAATCATGTCCGCTGGAAGGATAGATCATGTAAAAATCGTTGGATTCTTCTGGAAGAACATAATCTTTGTTCAACTGCCGTGTCGGACGAGGCTTCTGGCAGGACAAACCACTGGCGTTTTATCATTAAGGCTGTGGATATATAAACGTCAAACTGGTCTGCAGTAATTCGAGAATGTATTGCAGGATTTTCAACCACTGTTGTTAAACATTGATTTCGTTTTGATTTTCTAAATTTCTTGGTATCTCAGCAATATTATTTGTGCAGGTGCAATTAGTAATTTGCAATTACTGGAATGAGTGCGAAAATATCCTAAAAGAAGTAGCAGCAACAGTTGTAGAAAATAAGCAACAGGAAAGGAAGGGGACAAAATGGTATGATGGGGAATGCGCACAGGCGACTCGAAAAAAAATCAGGCGTATGGGAAACTCCAAAACAGATGGACAAGACAAAATCCAAAGGTGTACAAACAGATGAGACAAGCAGAGAAAGATACTAAAACAAAAGAAAAAACGACATTTAGAAAACCAGCTACAGGAACTAGAAAGGTTCAATTTACAAAGCGAAGCGCGAAAATTTTATAAAAATGTGAACCACAACAGAAAAGAATTTAAACCTAGAATAACCATAATAAAAAGTAAGGAAGCTGAAATTATCAATGAGCCGGATCAAATAGTGAAGAGATGGGGTGAGAATTTTGCTGAGAAATTAAATATAGTCAATCAAGAAGTAACTGACATAAATGACCACAGTAGAGAAGTAGATGATGAGAGGGAGAAAAATAATATACCAACAGAAGAAAAAGTTGTCAAGGCAATAAAAAGGTTAAAAAACAACAAATCCCCTGAAGAAGATGAAATTAAGGTATTTGGAATAGGCAGTTGGAATGAAGGTATTATAATACCTATTCACAAGAAA